GATGAGTTATTGTCATTAAATAGATCACCGTCATTAAGTGAGACGTACCCAGAATTTGCATTAATTCTGTCCCAATTTTGTTCTGCAAAATTAGCAGACCTTGAAATTATAATTCTTTTACTTCCATCGCTAAAGCGATATCCTTTTGACCCTGGCTCATAGCCCACAAACCTGAGCTTTCTTACCTTTTGCTGTCCCTTAATTGAACAAATTATAAAATAATTAACAATAATATATGTATAGAAAAACATAAATACCAAAAGAAAAATGCTTTAAAGAAAAAAGAATAAGAAAAAAAGAAGAAAGAAAAAGATAAAAGAAAATATAATAAAAATAAAAAATAAAAATAAAAAAGAATAAAGTCTATAAAATATTTTAAATTTTAAATATAAGTTATTAAAAAACTAAATAATATTTTTATATCCAACTTATATTGTATAAAATCTATCCATTTTTTCCATACCACAAAATACTTCTCTTGCGATTGATCCTTCAAAAAAGCCGAAATCTTTGCCATTTCCGCCAAATAAGAAACTTTAAAAAACCACTCTTGCAAAGTAGGCAAAGATTCCTTCTTCCAACATTGTCCTAGGATCCTAGATATTCTGAGCCCATTTAATCATACAGTCTTTAACCAATTCTGTTTCAGAGTCTAATTCTATCAAAGCATTGTAAATTCTTTTTATATGGGCCTGACTCTGGTCTTTAATCTGAATAACCAGATTTCCATCTTCTAGTGTTATTCCTTCTTTTTTATCTACAGTCCACCTGTCCACTATTTGTAAATATTGAAACCATGACTGTAGAATATTTTCTTGCCTTAATACATCTAGAGATTTTAAATGCCAATCCGAACCTGACCAAGTTAATAATTCTTTATACGAAATTTTATCAAAATTCATCCCCTTAGAAATCCCTTCAACTGCATGTCTAGGAATCCCCCAGATAGGTATTTTATAGTTTAACCTATAATAATACTTTTTCCAAACTCGAAGTAAGGCACTCCTCAAAATATGTGATTTGAAAGCCCGGTCCACTTTCTTATTAAAAATTAAATATGCATGCCAATCATACATTAAATCCTACCCTTCAAGAACAAGAATATCCATATTTGTTAAATTAAGCCAATCACTTATCCAAGTTAAGGCGGCTGAATCATAATATAATTTCAAGTTAGATGCTTTATGTCCTCCTCTTTCTCGGGCATCTTGCAAAATCTTAAACTTAACCCTTGGTTTTTTCCCAGCCCAAATGAATTTATTGATACCCTTCTGCCATTCCTCCAAATTTATATCTTTTTTTAAAATAGGTATCATCTGAAACAAGAAAAGAAACTTTGGTAGAACATTCATTTTTACAGCTGAAATTCTCCCCAACAATGACAATTGCAGTTTTTTCCAGTCATTTAAATCCTTTTGCACTTTTGCTCATAATAATTCATAATTATTTTTATACAGTTTTCTATTTGAGGCAGTTAAATATACTCCCAGATATTTAACCTTTTTCACCATCTGAAAACCTGTGGCTTTAACCAAACTTTCCTTGTCATTGGCTAATATATTCTTAGATAATATCTTAGTCTTATGGTTATTGACTTTAAAAACAGAAACTTTTCCATACTGTATTATAAGTTCTAATAGACAATCAACCGCTCTAATCGGTTGTTCCAAAATCAAAACAAAATCATCTGCAAAAGCCCGTAATTTATACTCATTTTTTCCTATCTTTATGCCCTTGATTACCGTTGATTCTCGAATCTGGATCAACAAAATCTCCAATGTCAAAATAAATAACAATGGAGATAATGGGCATCCTTGTCTTGTCCCTTTTTCAATATTAAAAGTCTCAGTCAATCCCCCATTAACAACAATTTGAGCAGATTGTTGCTGATATATAGCTTTAAGTGCATGTAAAAAATTATCCCCAAAATTCATTTTCTCTACCAGTGAGAATAAGAATTGCCAATCTAATTGATCAAAGGCTTTTTCAGCATCCAAAAATATAAAAGCCACAGGAATCTGATTGTTCTTATCCAAATACTCAATTAAGTTAATAATTTGTCTAACATTATATTTCATGTATCGCCCTGTTATGAATCCTGACTGATCACTGTGAATCAAATCCTTCATAACCTACATTAATCTATTTGCCAAAATTTTTGTAAAAATCTTGTAATCTACATTTAATAATGATATCGGCCTATAATTCTTAGGCTCTGTAAGATCTTGATCCTCCTTCGGAATCAATGATATAAACGCTCTTTTCCAAGAAGGAGGAACTTGTGCTCCCAGAAAGATACTATTAAAAAGCTCCTTTAATGGCTCCAACATTTCTTCATATAAATTTTTATAATACGTCGACGTCAATCCATCTGTTCCTGGAGACTTTCCCACCTTTAACTGCTTGATAGCTAAGCCAATTTCCTCCACAGTAATTAAACAATTCATCCCATTTTGCTGTTCCTCAGAAAGTTTAGGAAAATGTACTGATTGTAAATATTTATCTATATCCATTCCCTTTATATTATCACTTGAGTATAGTTTTGTGTAAAAATCTAAAAAAAACTCTTTTTAATCAAATTTTGCTGAAAAACTTCAGTACCTTTATATTTTACTTTCTCTATAATTCTAGCCTTCTGTTTCTTTCGTAACTGATAAGCTAACCACCTCCCAGGCTTATTCGCATTACAAAAAGTATTATGTCTCATATAACGCAAATTGGTAGCCACCTCATCTGCCATCAACATATTAAATTGTTCCCTAAGCATCTTTATAGAAACCTTTAAGTTATTATCAGTTGGATTAAAAGCAAGCGCTTCTTCTTTTATTTTAATCTCATCTTCTATTTCTCTACGTCTTTGTATCCTTTTATCCCTAGAAACTTTATTTAAATGAATTAAAATTCCCCTCATATACGCCTTACTGGCGTCCCAGACCATGGGCATCGATGTACCCTTATTCATATTTAAAGCAAAAAACTCCTTTAAATACTCTTTACATTTTTGTACAAACTCTCCCCGGGTAAACAAATTCTCATTCAGTCTCCAAGGCCTTCTGTTCCCATCTTCCAAGTATAGCTCCATCCACACAGGACTATGGTCTGAAAGGGTCCTGGGAAAGATTTTTACCTTTCTCACCCTAGAAAGAAAATCACTAGTAATCAAAAAGAAGTCAATCCTTGAAAAAATTCTGCCTTGTTCTTATACTTTCTAAACACAGGCAATTTCTTCCAGCTTTAAATTACAATGCAGTCCTTAGTAAGCTCTGGGCCCATAACCTGTTAGAGAATTTTAATTTCTCTATTGGTGAAAAATAAATCAGAAGCTCTCACAGTTGACTGCATTTAGCTGATTCAAATAACTTTATATTTATATAAAAATATTTACAATACCATTCTTCTTTACATCAACATAGCTTAATGAAGACTTCTTACAGAGACAGACCAGAGACAAAACTGAGACTGGAAATCCAGCTCCTAACTCAATACTCTTTTGTGCAGACTCAGTAGCACTTTCTTCACATTGGCTGACTGAGTTACCACATGACTCTTCCTGTTCATGAATATTCCAACAGTTTTACATTCACTAATACAAATTTAATTCCTAATCCTTTATTCTTTTCTCTAGCCATTGATAAAATAAGTCCCAAGTTTAATAATATTCTGTTTCTTCTTTTTCTTTCAACCTCATAGTAAGTCTGTCCATCTCCGCACATTCTAGATTTTTTAAATTATTTCTTCATCTGATGGTATTTCTTCATTTTTCCAATACTGTGCGAATATAATTCTTGCTGCTGTTATTACATGTAAAATCAAATATATGCTTTGTTTATCAGTCTTTTCTGGCATTATACCTAATAGAAAAAGTTCAGGTTTAAAATCTACATGTTTTCCCAAAATCTTTTCTAGCTAAGTATGTATTTTCTTCCAATACCTCTTTACTTTAGCACATGTCCCCCAAACATGGTAATAAGTACCTGACTTGTCTATCTGACATGTTTTAAAACATTTTTGCTAATCTTGCTGGTGGCAAGTGCCATCTATAAAACATTTTAACATTCTTCTGCATTTTCATTGTATCGGGGAACAGGAAACATTTTTAGCTGTGGGGAGCCCTTCTTCTCTCTGCCTGGCCTGTAATGTTGTAATTTTAACAAAAAGGAGGTTTATTTACTGGAAATACATGAGGAATGTATATTTGAGTAGCTACATACAACCTTGTAGAAGATCAGAAAGGAACAAGGAGAGGGAGATGGACATTGTGATTAATAATCTTCTAAACAAGGACTGGCAGAGCAATAGGTAAAAAGGAGAAGGTTGAAGGGAATCCTCAGTGGAGAAGGAGCTTAGAAGCAGGCCATTTAAAGTCACATCTTCAACATTTTTAAATCCTTTGCTCTTATGAAGAACAAGCAGGGAGGCCTCACTTAATGACTGCCCTGTTTAGCAACTGTTTAAAGACACAAGGGCACTGACAAAGTAACATTATGACTAGTCCATGTGCTTACAACCATTGCAGCATCCCTGTGGTCATGTGTTCGAGATTCTGGTGCTAGGCAACCAGTGGGTGACCATATGATCACCATATCTGAGCTTCACAGCCAACTTCTGACAAGCAGAGTCAGTGGAAAAGAAATCTCAAATCGTGGTCATGTGATGTCTCACTTAATGACTGTGGGTGATTCACTTAACCACTGTGAGAGTGTGAGAGGATCTCTTACTTAACTACTATGTCCCTTAGCAACAGAATTACCAGCCCCAAATGTAGTCATTAAGTGACAATTGCCTGTATATTTTATAATTGATGTGAGAGCAAAAGTTACCCTCTTAACTTGGGCACACAAGGTAAAATTTTGCCCTCGCTGGATTGGGAGCATTACAAGATATTTAGAGTGTCCTGTGCACTCTGTGTTCCCCTCTCTCCAGTCTTTGCAATGTAAACAATTACATTTGCAATTGGACTGTGCAAAACATCGTATATGTCAAAATTTGCTTGTGTTTAGCTTTTCTAGGATTTTGCAAGAAACAGTGGAGGAGCTGGCACCACAATGTGATGTAACTTTTATGCTGTCTGAAGACGGAAGTGGGAAAGGAGCAGCCTTAATTACAGCGGTGGCCAAGCAGATGCACCAAGTTGTTAAAAATTAAATTGATCTAACAGACCTGGGTGGGCAAGAAGGATCAACTATAAAAGTTCCTACACACACAGTTGTGGCATGATCAATCCAAAAGGGTCCATTTCTGCAGTTGATGACCAGAAAGAATACAGGATACCGTCTGTCATGTCAAAACTGATGGAGATTTTGCCTTATTTGGACTCTGTTGTCCTAAGTTGCCTGATACACAACACCACACTTAATATTTTTTCATTGTGCCTAACACAATTCAAAATATTAAATGACCAGGTTCCATATATTTGTTTTAAAGAAATCTGCTTCTTTTGAGTGTATTTATACAATCCCTGCTCTATGTCCTAATTTAGTAATTTCTGGTTAATGTTAAAATATCCTTTGTATTGCATAAATACTTATTGGAGAGTAAGTATAATATACCATAGCTATATGTCAAGAGCTGGTGCTGTTTATCTAGTGCAGTATTTTTTTTTTCATAGTATATGAAGGTTGGAAGGTACCTCAGAAATCATCTAGTCAATCCTACTACCCTGTGGAGGAACAAGTACCATGTGTGTTCTAGCTAAGGGGGGAGGGGTGTTGTGTCCTGAGCCTGCAAATGCAGGCTAGGGACATTGCAAGGTTCCCGGGCAATTGCAAAAGCTGCCTGGGACCAGACTGAGTGGTGCCGACCAAACGTGCATGCGCAAGGCGTGAAAAGTGCATAGTAATGTTGCCATCTTGTCTGGGGAATGGGGACGTATAAAAGGAGGCCTGCGTGCCTTTGCTCGTTGTTGGAGTTTGAAATAAGCACAATAAAGAGCTGTTCCAGAAACATGTGTATTCTTCATTCGCCATCGCTTCCAGGACTTAACAGTTGCCATCTCCGGGGCATGGCACGTGTGCCCACAGAGAGGGCTACGAGTGCCACCTCTGGCACACGTGCCATAGGTTCACCACCACTGGTCTAGTCTAATGAAGAGAAGGATGAGGGGTGACATGATAGCAGTCTTCCAATATCTCAGGGGTTGCCACAAAGAAGAGGGAGTCAAGCTGTTCTCCAAAGCCCTTGAAGGCAGGACAAGAAGCAAAGGATAGAAACTAACCAAAGAGAGAAGCAACCTAGAACTAAGGAGACATTTCCTGACAGTTAGAACAATTAATCAGTGGAACAACCTGCCTCCAGAAGCTGTGAATGCTCCAACACTGGAAGTTTTTAAGAAAAGACTGGACAGCCATTTGTCTGAAAGGGTATAGAGTTTCCTGCTTGAGCAGGGGGTTGGACTAGATGACCTCCAAGGTCCCTTCCACCACCATCATCATCATCATTATTAAATGTTAGAAATCACCTTAGTCCAATCTTCCATTTTCCAGCCATCAGTAGTACTAATAAGGGTTTTGGGGAATTCAAGGGCCTTTGCAGAGCAGGTTGGGGCACTGTTTCTCAGCCTTGACAACGTTAAGATGTGTGGACTTCAACTTTCAGAATTCAATTCTGGGAATTGAAGTCCATCTTAAAGTTGCCAAAGTTGAGAAACACTGGATTGGGGCCGTCTGCTCTTTTCTCCAAGAATCCCACTTTGCAAAGTTAATGCAATGTCTTCTGAGCAACATTTATCTACCTATTTCTGCACATAGACAAAAGAAGTAGAAATGCCTCGTTCTAGTCCTTTATTATCCAAGAAAGTAGCAATGAAATATTTCACATTAGAAAATCTAAAAGGGAAGAATTATGCCAGTTATAGTTAATAGGATCCAGTGATATTCTGCATAATTTTATCATTCATTTATCTTGTGGAAGCTCATAGAAGAGGTGACAAATTTATGCTCTGAGGATGCTGACCTATCCAGTCCTGGAGAATTTCTTCTGATAGTTTCTTCTGATGTGTTCACCTTTCCTGAAACATTTCTACAGCAGTAAAAGCACAGCAGAGAATGCAAATTACTGTAAATGTCTACTTGTAATACACCACTTTGGAAAACTGCCTCCTATTAGCAGAAATTGAAGTACTTCTTGGTCAGTCATCTGATCTTCCCATTAAATGCTGTGCATCCTTTTCTACTAACCTTAAAGTAAAGAAATCTACAATATAGTAGATTCTACTCACTTTTTCTTAGGAGTGAGCTCTTAGGTACGTAGAAGAGCACACTGTCTTAAAAGTGCAAAGAAATTCATATTAGTATATCAGAATAACAGAGTTAGAAGGGACTTTGAAGGTCTTTAAGTCCAATCCCTGCTCAAGCAGGAGACCTTGTACCATGACAGGCAAATGACTGTCCAATTTCTTCTTAAAAATCAAGACAGTTCATTGATAGATACTAGTATATTCATTAATAGCTACTAGTAATAGAAACATTAATAGATAATGGTTATCAATCTATACCGCACTGGTGAGGCCACACTTGGAATTTTGCATCCAGTTCTGGTCACCATGATACTGTGGGAAGATTTTCCGTGGTTCAGGTTTCCAGCTGGGAAGCAGACCTTCAGCTCCGACGGAAGAATTGAAACAAAGTGAAACAAGCTGCCAGAAGGTAGGTTTTATTGCAGAAACCAGATGGAGTAGTGATATAGCGATGGTTTCTGGACTAGCTACTACCTTCCCAAGGTGAGGGGTCCTGTTTTTATATCCCTTGAGTTATTGAGATTATGATTTAGATTTTGTAAAGGTATTTGTTCCCCTGATTTCTCCTAGTTTGTGTTTGTTTAGATCAATATTTTCTTAGGAGATGTTTCTTTGTTCATGCAAATGGGTTTCTATATGAGGTTAATGTCTGTTTGTTGGCATTATATTGTTCCTATCTAGTGGGATCGATGGGTTTGATTGTTCGTCCAAGTCATGTGTCTGCAGTTTCTTGTCCTCAGGATGTTTCTGTTATGTCCCGAGCCTTGCAAACGGGCTCGGGGCGTTTGCAGGCAGTCCCGGGCAGGTGCAAGCTGCCCGGGACCAGACAGGCTGTCGCCAGCGCCTGTGCGCATGCGCGGGTGCTGGCGCGGGAAAAGTAACACATTGACCCGGGAATTGCCTATATAAGAGGCTGGGAGCTTTTGGGCGTTGCTGAAGCCTTCACCTGTAAGCTGAACACAGAATAAAAGAAAACCTGAGAACTACAACTGCTTCTCGTGTCTGCTTTTCGCCAAGGACTCAACACTGGCGACGAAGGTGGGATGCCTTACATCGTCTGGAAAGGAAGAGGTGTAAGCTTACCCAAGTGAGTCCTGAGCGGCGGAACGGAGTTGACTCGGCAGCTACCCGCCAATCCAGTGTGCATTCGGGGGTAGGCTGGCTGATAGACCCGTCTCCTGAAGATGGCAAAGGTTGGAAGGCTTTCGGAGTTCGACGTCTCACATCCAGAGCGGTGGGACTCCTACGTAGCCAGGGTGGAGAACTACCTCAAGGTGAACCAAGTGAGGGAAGATAGCTTGAAGGCTGCCACCCTGCTTTGTGTCTGCGGCCAAGACGCCTTCGAAATCGCAGAGAACCTTGCAGCACCTGTTTCATTAGAGTCTGTCAGCTACGCAGATCTAAAGAAGCTATTGAAGGAGCACTTCCAGCCCAAGATGTCCGTCATCGCATGGCGCCACACCTTCGAGCAGAGGGATCAACGATCCGGAGAGTCGGCCAAAGAGTACATCGCCGCATTGAGGAAGGCCGCCAAGCACTGCGAGTTCAAGGACCTCGAAGAACGACTGAGGGACCGATTCGTGTGCGGCTTAAGGCATCAAGATTTACAACAGAGGCTTTTCGCCAAAGAAGACTTGTCCTTCCAAGATGCCTTAAGAGAGGTCACCGCAGAAGCAGCAGGCGGCGCCATCAAGAACATGCGGCCGATCAGGAACAGTCCAGATGTTGCATCCGTGCACCAAGAGGACGTCCAAGGGAACTCCAAGGAGGATCCGGACGAGGAAGCCGACCGCCTCCACCCCGCGAAGGAAGGGAATCAGAAAGGAAGCTCTTCAGCTCACCTCAAGTGCATCGGCTGTGGAGGTCGCCACAGGAGAACCGACTGCAAGTTCCGCTCCGCTATCTGCTGGGCATGCGGAAAACAAGGACATATTGCAGCTGTGTGTCTGGGCCGACGAAAGGTACAACCTCAGGAAGAACTGCGCCTGAAAGGTACCAGGGTCCCCAGCCAGAATAGGGTAGGTTTTTGCGCTTCGCGAAGGAGCATCTTCAGGACAGGCACACACAAGCCCATCAAGAAAAAGCTGTCACTCAAGGTGAAGCTACAAGGGGTTCCATTAACTATGGAACTAGACACGGGGTCTGCCCTTTCAATCATATCCTTGCATACATTTAGGAAGATTTGTTCCGGCAGTGGAACTCAGGCTAAATTAAGGCCTTCTGACATTGTGTTAACAGACTTTCAAAATTCGAGAGTGTGTGTTAAGGGGGAGGCTACCCTTAACGTACAGTATAAGAATTTTGAAGGTCCACTAGACCTATTAGTAGTAGGGGGTGAACGAACGAGTCTCATAGGACTCGATTGGTTTGAAGCCTTGGGGATACACGTCACGGGGCTCAACAGCTTACAAACACTCGACCTACAGGAAGTCTGCAAAGAATTTGCAGATGTCTTCAGCCCCCAGCTGGGCACATTCAAGGGACCCCCTGTGTCCTTAAAACTAGACCCCACTGTCACTCCCATTAGAATTAAAGCAAGAAGGGTCCCTTTTGCTTTAAAGAGTAAAATTGACACTGAGTTAGACAAACTGATCCAACAGGGAATTCTAGAACCTGTTGATTCCAGTCCTTGGGAGACCCCCATTGTCACGCCTCTAAAGGCAAATGGGGACATTCACATTTGTGCTGATTACAAATGCACTCTTAATAAGGCATTGCAGCAACATGCCTATCCTGTTCCTGTGGTCAGTCATATTCTGGCCTCCCTCAAGGGGGGGCGCGTTTTTGCAAAGCTTGACCTAGCTCAAGCGTATCAACAGCTGCCTGTTGATGATGATGCTGCTATAGCTCAGACTATTGTGACCCACAGGGGAGCCTTTAAGGTAAAAAGGCTACAGTTTGGAGTGAATGTCGCTCCTGGGATTTTCCAAAGCGTAATGGAAAACACACTACGGGGCATACCGGGGGTTTGCCCCTACTTTGATGATGTCTTAATTGCAGGAGACTCCACACACATTCTAGCTGAAAGGCTAAGGGCTGTTCTGTTAAGGTTCAGGAAAACAGGCCTCAAGCTCAAAAAAGACAAATGCAAAATTGGGGTGCCTTCTACTGAATTTCTGGGATTCAAAATTGATGCTGCTGGGATTCACCCTGCTGAATCCAAACTAACTGCCATTTTAGAAGCACCTAGGCCAAAGTCTAAGGCCGAACTTCAGGCCTTTCTGGGCCTCCTGAATTTCTACAATTCCTTTCTTCCACATAAAGCTAGTGTAGTTGAGCCTCTTCACAGGCTATTAGACAAACAAGCAGTGTGGCAATGGTCACAAACACATGAGGCTAGTTCCAATGAGGTCAAGGCCTTACTCACTTCTAACAGTGTACTTGCATACTTCAATGAGTCCCTTCCTGTGTGCATCGCTTGTGATGCTTCCCCTTACGGGGTAGGAGCCGTCCTGAGCCAGCTCAGGTCTGATGGAACTCAGGTTCCTGTTACATATTACTCCAGAATACTGTCTTCTGCTGAGTGCAACTACGCTCAGATAGACAGGGAGGCTCTGGCTGTTGTTGCTGGAATTAAAAAATTC